AAGGCTGCCATCACAGCTACTGAAGCATTAGGTAGAATACTATTATACCTAGAATTTGAAAGAAAATAGCGCGATTCGATTGCAATTAATATAGTGAATGTTTTGATTTAGCGGTGCTTAGTATTGTAAGGTTTTGCCTATTGAAAACTGGAAGAGGATCTTTATACTATTATGGCGCTACAGATTTATAGCTAAGTAATACGGTTATTATTCTTATTATTAAGATAACTATTTCTAGAAATTACTAGTATTCAACTTTTAATTAAAGAATAAATAAGTATAATATACGTGTTTAGTAATTAATATTTATAAGTTTTCCAAAAGCGGCTGCTACTTTGTCATTCTAAATAATATTCGCAACGTTCTCTTTTAGTATATAAATACTCTTATAAAATCAAAACAGTTTCTATCGTAAGCCGAGTTTAAGAATTGTATTCTATAGTTTAAATCCTATAAAGAATACGCTATTTAAGTAACGATAGTATAGCAGGGTATGTATTACGTTAAATAACCTACGCACTTACTTATAAGTAACAAAACCTAGCATTTCCATTTCAAATTCGTTTTAAAATACGCTGACCTTATCCTTTTTGAATGAAAGTCCTAGATTTAGTTTAATAGAATGTAAGTAAATAGTATTTATAAAAGGTATTATTTCGTTACCCTTTTCAAAAATAAAAAATTTAATCATTTCACCCAGTATAAATCGAAACTTAAAAGATAAATATTCTGAGCCTACTTTGTAAGTAAAACAAAGGATACTTTTTTATTTTAAGACTTTGAAGCTTGGGATACTATTACAAATACTTTGTACTAGAAAAGAATCCTTCCTCTTTTGTAGTAATTTTGATAATAATATCTGATTTTGGTAGTTATATAGAATAATACTCTAGCTTACAATTTGAAATTAACAAAGATATTTATAAATTAAGCCTTTATTAGTACTGACGTTGTCGCTTGGCTACTACACTTGTCAGATTTCAACCTTATTGAAAATATATAAGTATAGATGAAAGTTGAATTAAATGCAAATATTCTATTAGACTGATTGAAAATAGCTTCAAAAAAACAGCTATCAAAAGGATATAGGAGACTGTATCAAAGGATTACCTATTACATTTTGTATATTTCATGCTTAAAAAGTTATAAGCAGTTATTAAAATAAATAGCAGCTATACTAATTACTGATAGGGTAAGATATTACAGCTACAAAATAATATCTAGATTTTATAGATTTTGTTATGAGAAATGCACTGATTCTCCGTTACTCTATTATTTCTATTCTTCAAGCCTGTGATTTTATTGATTTTAACCCCCGTTGTCCCCCCTTGTCGCCATCCCACAATGTACCACGCTAGCAATCAAACCAGGGGTAGAGTGTACATGCAAAAAAGACCAAAATCTATTGGGTTGCCAGAAATCACCAGTTGGTAAAATTTTGACATGCAGCTCCAGCGTAGTGTACATGCACAAGGTCGAGCTAAAATGATCGGATAGAAGATCAAGAGGAGAAAATTGCATTTGGTCCCAAGCAACACCATTGGCATTTGCTGCAGCTTCTGTTATTTCACCATCGTGACAGCCCAGCTGATATCTGACGAGTGGGTAGCCGGTAGAAAGTGGGCAGCTCGGGGTGGATTCCGCCGCTGGTGATGACTCCTCACTCCAGAGGTCGGTACCGGTACAGTATCGTGGTATTGTACATGTGGTGGTAATGCTTCCCAATGACAACGAATTGTCTTCCACGCCTTCCAATCCATCTTCTTCACTTCATGTCACGTTGTCCCGCGATGAGCGTCGGGTCGCGGATGTGATGGACAAACACTGAAACACTGCGATACCATGCCAAGATGCGATCGAAGACCGAACAGCGGCATGCCGAGGACACCGGCAACCAAGAGCGACCGCATTGTCTTGGCTAACAGCAGGAGTGCTGATTCTCGTCATTGCCGTTGGTATCGTTGTGTTGGTGCATAATAAGCAAATGCAAATCAAGCATATCTTCAACACAAACCCCGACGACGGTTTCTTTAACCCGGTGATGATCTTGGACGGTCGGAAAAAGTAAGTAGTGCAAATGGATTAGACTTGGCAAACTAACAGATCCAATGTGCCATCGCTATCTGTGCACGGCCTGGCACACCGAAAAATTCGTTAGTGCACTATCAAAAACAGCTTTGACCGGAGTTTCCCGCATCGGAAACAATCATAAAAGGCACGGATAATCGGATGACAAGCTGTCAACTAGCAGCAGAAAGCCGTCTCCATTTCAGCTCAAGCCCCATCTTCTATTGACGCCGCATATTCAAGGCTACCGTGCCATTCCCCTTTCGAGCCCGAGGAAACATCAAAAGGAGATAACGACGCAAGGATCATTGCACACCATTGGCACGTTGTTCAAAATCAAGTTAGTGCCGTATGGGCTCATTGGCCTCATTGGGCTGTCCTGGGCAGTTTTGCAACACCATCGATTCTTTGACTTCGATCGACTCTCGAGCCTTGGATCTCTTGTCTTGGTGGAGGCACCCGAGAGCCTGGCTCGGGGCTACCGCCTCGAACGACTTTTGGACCTGGAAGGCTTCGTTGGAGTCGTTGGGTGTGCACAGGCACCGGACGAGTGCAACGTCTTTTGCTCATGTCATGCAGTTCGTGCTGCGCGGCCCGACCTGCTTGCTGCTTTCTGGAAAGTGGACAGATGCAATGTAGATATAATTCCGAAGTGTCCTGTCACCGTGACACATTTCACACAACGAAAAAAAAGGTGCGTGTTTTGCGTGCCTTGAATCGCTTCAGTTGATGGACATCAATGACAATCTCTTTTTCGAGGTGCAGCGTCCATCTTCGTATTCGCCAGCGGTGAGAGAACAAGTCGGGCTTGGAATGCGCGGGAGAAGCCAGACAAAACATGGTCCCCCATTCGACAACGTTTGGGAAATCAACGGGAACTTCCATTGTATGTTTGCACGATGGACTGACTGGGTGTCCTGGGTGTGTATAGTATGGCGTGGGAGAGCCGGTACTGTAGAGGCGGGACTTCTGCTCCAGTCGAACAATTACAGAGTCAGAGACAGCGCTATTGGCCCTTTTTCTGTTGACCGCACCGCTTGACTCGCGGTCCTGGGACGATACGATGGCTTGGGATCGGATTTCAACACCAAGGACATTCCCATTCAACCATGCTCCGACTCTTACCAAGCTCCCGGTACAGGTCTTGTTATCGTCTCCCGAAGCTGAAGACGAAAAAACCCATTGGACACAACAAGAGAGCCACGAATCTGCCGCGCTTTGTGTGAAATAAAACCGAGTACACAGTTACGATCGTGAGTTAGGTATGTGTGAGGGCTGTCCGTTAAATGAATTGCTCATGCAGTGATGCAGCGGCTGAGGCATTACGTCAGAGGCGTCAGAGGCGTCAGAAGTACGTCTTGGCAAAATGGCCGTTGACACACTGAGCGGGGATCTTCAAAAGTTCGGCTAAAGGTACGTACCTCAATTTAGTGCCGGCGGCTCTAAATTGGCCATTGGTCAACGCGTTGTCGCGCGCGAGCCACGATTGACCGCAAACTGGAACGGGCCGGCACGGGGCCGTAGGCCGGTACCATCGCGAACGGCACATCACGGCGCAACATTTCGTCGCATTTCATGATCCAACAATATGAAGCTTCTCTGAAATGTTACGCCAAGCCCGCGGACAACCTTAGGGTCGGAGTTTACGGCATTCTTCATGGAGCATTCCTCGGTGCAACAAGCCAACAACAGCCTCCATTCAATACCTACATGCACAAGTCAATAGTCGATACCACACCTGGGATCTCGATCCTCGTCGGAGCCGGCCTTCGTGCCCGACGACGCTAGATTGCTTTCGGATTTTGTCTCTCTAGTTTCGAGTACACTGGGAATGCGACGGGGTGGTTCGCTCGGGACAAGACCGGTCACCTGTATCACAACATGGCATATGGTATTCTACAAGCAGGTGTCTGTCTCACTGTTGACTTTTTACAGATTGGACGGCGGGACCGAGATGACATGGACCCATAAAACGCCGTGGATCCCGTTCCGTCGTCTGGACTAGACTCTGGAATTCGTCGGGAGAGCCCGTGCCCGGAATCCGGACCGGAACGGACAATTGGGTTCCCTTGCTATTTCCCACGTGGAATTCCCATTTCGGTAAGCGATTTGAACGCGACAGGATGCCGTGCCGGGCTCCTGCAGTACCGACGACAACCGAAATGTAAAACCTGAGACTTGTACATACGCCTACCTACTCTATATGAGATTCTTGATCACTTCACCAGGACGGTCAAGTCACCGGCAGAAGCATGTGGATATCTTGAAAGGGGCACTCGACACTGCCTCAGACACTCCAGAGAGTTTCCGGAGGCGGCTGAAGATTCACATAATAGGTATACGTATATAGCCGATAGGCTTGCCCTTTGACTGTCGCGATTCATATGCTCCCAACCTAGAGTTGGCCTTCGCTTTTCAATTTATGCTGTTCGAAAATTGAAGCTATATTTTTACCTCGATCTGTAAAAGGTGGGACGTCAGTATCCAGTACGTACCTTTTCGACCCGTGCAATCCGCCCATCTCATTGGTCAGGACCTCAACCTGCGGAATTGAGGATTACAGTACGGTTACCGAGATGCTCCACTTTTTCCTGCGAGGCTACCTTTTGGGAACAGCCTTGCAGTCCAGTAAACATTGCCAGCTTCCACCACGAACCACGAACCACGAACCACGAACCACGAACCTTTGTCTCGCTTGCGTACTCCCCACGTCACGTATTTCTTTTGTTTCAACCTCCCTTTTGGTCTATAATCTCTGCACGGCAACCTGCTGTTCGCCCTCTGAGACCTCCATTATCAAGGCCGCCACTCAAGCCGTCGTCCTCGATCGCCGAATTCTCGACCCATTTTCTCGAACCCATCGGACCTCGATCGTCTGCCATCAAGAATTCTAGCAACTACCCGGCAATTTATCTCGACGAACACCCGCAAACATGGCGGACTCGGATGGCGAGTATGCCTCCGACGATGAGCTCAAGAGGAACGGAAAGAGGACAGCGGATGGGCGCAGCAAGCAAACCAAGGCGTCCTGGGAAGATGTAAAGCGCTCCTGGGATACCGTTCTCGAAACAGCGGACAGTGGTCTCTCGATTGCAGAGATCCGGGAGGCCGAGAAGCGACGTCGCCTTCTGCGCGACACGACACCACTTCAGCGTGGCATCATCCGCCACTTGATGTTGGTGCTTGACATGAGTTTTGCCATGGCCGACAAAGATCTGCTACCAAACCGCTATCGAGTCGTCCTCAACAACGCCATTGGCTTCGTACGCGAATACTTTGAACAGAATCCCATCAGTCAGTTGGGCATCGTGGGGATGCGCGATGGGATTGCCGTGCGCATCAGCGACCTGAGTGGGAACCCAGCCGAACACATCGAGAAGTTGATGCAATGGAGCGAGCAACAAGACCCCCAAGGAAATTCAAGTTTACAAAATGCACTGCAAATGTGCAGAGGTGCTCTATAGTTAGTTTCTTGGTCCCAAAAGCTCCGTGACGAAGCGCATTCGCTAATCGCCTGTGATCCTCCTCGCAGTCAAACCCCATCACATGCCACGCGCGAAGTACTGATAATCTACGGGGCCCTCGTCTCGATCGACCCGGGCGACATCCACGACACTATCAACGACCTGGTAGCCGACCGAATCCGCGTCTCCGTCGTCGGCCTCGCCGGCCAGGTCGCCATCTGCACCGAGCTCTGCAAGCGAACAAACAACCACGACGGCAACTACAGCGTCGCCATAGACGAGGTGCACCTGAAGGAGCTCTTCTTCGCCGCCACCACTCCGCCCGTCACCCGCACCCCCGAGCAAAACACTGCCAGCCTGCTCATGATGGGCTTCCCCAGCCGTACGCTCGCCCCCAAAGACCACGTTAGCTACTGCGCCTGTCACGCGAAGCCCACACGAGAAGGATATACCTGTCCGCGCTGCGGAATCAAGGTGTGCCGGCTGCCGATCGACTGTCCGATCTGCAAGCTCACGCTCATTCAGAGTACGCACTTGGCGAGGTCGTACCACCATTTGTTCCCGCTTAAAGTCTTTGTGGAGGTTCCGTGGTCACAGGCGAGTCGGTCGACAGCGTGCTACTCGTGTCTATCGCCTTTTCCTACAGGGCCGAGGGACACGGTGGCAGCGGCGCCGGCGGTTTTGGGAGGGAGAGCAGGGAAAGGCGGGAAACAGGACAGCGATCCCAAGAATCCAAAACCGGAACTCAAGGGCGTCAGTGAAAGCGGCCGGTATGCGTGCCAGGTGTGCGGGAACCACTTCTGTATAGACTGTGATGTCTTTGCCCATGAGACGATTCATAACTGCCCGGGGTGTCAGAGCGATACGAGGGAGCCGGAAAGGGACACGGCGCTAGCAGTACCAGACGGTGGTCCTATGCCTATGGTGGTAGATTCATAAAGTGGTGAGGATGAAACATGGCGGCTGCATCAGACAGCGCTCTGCAACCCGAACGTCCCAAGTCGTATGGGCGAAACTGAACCGGACGCTCTGACTCAGAGCAGCGATAATAGAATGTCGTGATAGAAACCGGTTTGATGAACCAGAAAAGAGCGGTATCAGGCGGTACAATGAACGCATCCATCATATGAAGGGAATATGATCGTGCATGCAGCACAGGGGAAACTGCATGGCGTCGCGTTCACGGTGCTCCCACAAATGGCTGACAGAATGTCAAGAAGTGGATCTCGTACGCACCTGGTCAACAGACGCTGAAAGGGACACCAACTCGAACAACTGGAGACAAGCTTCAGCTGCTTCATGCTCTTTAACAAAGGCGGTGCAAAAGGAACATACTGTCAAAAAGGGTCAAAAGAAGTGACAGATACAGCGATAGAAAGACGCCGCGTGTGGTGTCGAGCATCTCTAAATGGGGTTGGATGCAGGTAAGGTGCTGAAAATCAGGATCTAAAGAGATTTTGGTCTGGAGTCCTCATCAAGGGAAGAGAGAGGGGATTGGCAGGTGATGAATTATATATCTGGATTGTTCAAGGACTAGAAGAATATATTGTACTGTTATCGGTTTAATAAAATATTCTTAGCATTATCATGTGGCATATCAAGACCTCAAATGTTCATTTGGCTGCACCACTTGGGTAGTTTCTTGGATTGATGAACATGTTATTCGAAGATTAAACAAATCTGTCGCAAGGAGGCCAGATGCAGTAAATGGAAGGGTGAAAACAGAGGTGAAAAGAGAAGCGGAAAGGGAGGTGAAGAGAGTTGGGTAATTGGGTACCTGACCAACGTGGACAGCTACGTAATAGACAAGCCAACAGAAGTCTTCCTGTCGTATATCACACAAAAAGAAATGAACAACTGTGATGGCGCCTGCCAGATGCATCTTCAAATGACCAGATTGCACAATGGTCAAAGTCTTAATGGTGTTCAAAATCATCATATGATTTGCATAACCAGCATGCGAATGAATACCTAGCTACTTCAATGCTCCCGCTTCATATTTGGAAACCATCATCCAAAACTACAAACAAGTACGCCTGCAAAATGCCATGCTAAACCCCATCCAGCTTCCTTGCCGGCCAATCCCCAAGCTTTTGTGTCCAAAAAGATATCATACAACGAAAAGAAAAAGATCACAATCTCATCACCCTTTTCACTCCCCCAACTTGCTTTACAAGTTGCCGCGCTCAGCCTGCTCTCTCTCAATCGCCTCAAACAGACTCTTGAAGTTACCAGCACCGAAGCCCTCAAAGTTGTTTCTCTGAATGATCTCAATGAAGACAGTCGGACGATCCATCAACGGCTTGGTGAACAGCTGCAGGAGGTAACCGCCCTCATCGTAATCGATGAGGATGTTGAGCTTTTGGATGGTGTCCAAATCCTCCTTGAGCTCCCACCCGCGCTTCTCCGTCTTGAGGCGCTGGCGGATGGTGTCGTAGTAGGTCTGGGGGACGTTGATGAACTCGACGCCGCGGGCGCGCATGGCGCTGACGGTGGAGATAATGTCCTGCGTGAGCAGGGCAATGTGCTGGATGCCGGCACCCGAGTTGAAGACGACGTACTCCTCGATCTGCGACTTCTTCTTGCCGGGCGCGGGCTCGTTGATGGGCATCTTGACCAGGTTGTTCTCGGACGCCATGACGATCGAGTTCAGAGCAGAGAACTCGGTGCAAATCTGAGAGTCGTCGACCGACCAGAAGCGGTGGAATGAGAGACACTGCTCGTAGAAGGCGCAGGCGGAGACCATCTCGTTCCAGTCCTGGTTGCCGACGCAGTGGTCGATGCGGGCCAGGGGCACGTTGGGGAGCTGGACAGTGGCGGGCGAGGGAGCACTGGCGCGGAAGCCTGGCAAGAAGGGACCGTTGTAGTCGGCCCGCGAGATGAGGGTGTGGGTGGTGTCGCCGTAAGTGCGGATGACGGCGGTGCGGACGCTGCCGTGCATCTTGTCGGTGAGGGTGGTGGGCTCCTGGACAACATCGGCGCCAGCGGCGACGGCCTTGTGGAAGACACCATCGACATTGTCAACCTCGAAGGCTACGTCCTTGACGGCATCGCCGTGCTTCTCCAAATGCTCGTGGCACTCCTTGAGGAGCTTGCGGTCCGCATCCGAGATGGGCTCCTCCTCGGGGAGGAACTTCTGGGAGCGGATAGGAGAGGTGAAGACGAAGCGGACATCGGCGTTGCCAACGACGTATGAGGCAAAGTACCGGCTGCCAGTCTCAAGGCCGCGATATGCGAGGGTCTTGAAGCCGAAAACAGTGTTGTAGTAGGAGGCGGCCTGCTTGGCGTTGCCAACCCACCATGTTACGTGGTCATAGCCATTGAAGTTGGAAACCTCGGAGGACTGGAGAGCGTAATCCGGAGTCCCGTTGGAGTAGTTGTTGTACTCAGAGGAGATGGCTGATGGGGACATGCTCACGGGGTTGATATATATAGATATGCTGGGTCGAAGAAAGTGTATATGGTTGGCCGGAGGGATGTATCAAAGATAGATGAGTATATCTGGATGACTATCGAACATCCATCTGAAAGGGAAGGGAGGGAGACTTATAAGTCATGGCAGGCGGAGGGGAGAGACGAGGTGAGATGCAGATTCGGCTTAACAAAGCAGGTGTATGTCCGCGTTCCGTTCCTGTCGACATGGGACCTATCACGGTTAGCAGAGATCAACGGACGTCACAAACCCCTCCTCTCGATCAGCTCCCGTAGATAGACCCCTTTGCGGCCCTTGCACCCCCTTCGACTTGGCCCCGTGAGGTTGGCAGGCCGGGGGTATGGTCCGCCTCAGTGGTATGTAGGCTGGTTGCTGCGGGTAACGGCGTACGGTGGAGGGAAACTGGCGAGTGTCCGCACATCGTTCATAGTGTGCGGTAACAAGCGCCGAGCTGGTGCTGTATCAAACCATGACTACCCATGAACCATGGCCATTATCTTCTCTCTGAATGGTTGCTGGTTCCTCACCGTCCAACGCTATGGATGAGAAGAAGCCGGGTAACAGTAGGGCGGCTAAGGGAACTGACAGGTTCTGGCGGATGACGGCGGGAACGAAAGACTCTTCTTCTCGATGTCAGAGTGATAAGCCGAGCTGCCAATTCGGGTGTAAGTGGTGAAGCGGCCATGTCCAACCGCAGCCGCCCGCGGGACCATTTGTAAGGCGGAATCAGACCGATGGAACGTCGATCCCTGGAAAAGCCGCTCAAAGCCGATGGTTGCCGTGGGGCCGCATTGCTGTGGTCAACCAGAAGCCAATTCGTCTTGTTTTCCTCCGCCTTGCGTCTGCTTCTCCAACCCCTTTGTCTGCCCAAACAATGCATCTGTTGCATACGCCGCGCTACCCCGCGAACCCCAGAACCCCCTAGACCAGCCCCATTCGCCGTTGGGACTTGTGGAAAGGTCCATCATGGAAATCCTGGAGAAGATGCAATCCCCGTGACGCTCATTGTCCCGAGCCACAGTGCACAAGAACCTTGTGCTTTCCGCACTCCATTGGCCGTAAATAGGCTTACCTTTCGGAAAGCCGATGCCATGAATTGGGGAATTTGATTATTGGTCTTTAAGATTCGACGTGACCCTTGCATTCCAGACATCTTATCTTCGTCATCTCGACTTTCTTCATTTTCCTCCCCAGACTCAAAAGTGTATGACCTCTTGCTTATCGACATCGGGTCTTATTGACAATATTTCAGAATATTTTCCTGCCCAGCTACCATCATCAAAAGCTCCTGGACTTTAACTGTCAACATCAACCATTCGCTTTGAACGCAAAGCCCAGCTATAGACGATAGACGATATATCATCACACCACAGCAAACCATCGCCATGGCTTACGTTTCGTTAAGCACGCGCGACCTCAACGTCCTCGAGAAAATCCAGGATCCAGAGTACGATCCCGCCCGGATGGTGCAAGTGGACACAAGCCTGCCCAAAGACCCCAACTTCAAGGATCAGGCCCTCTATGAGAAGGTCGCCCAACTAGAGCGCGAGATCATCCTTTCCATTCAGCAGCTCGAGGTTGCAAACGCAAAGTCAGAGGCGCAGGGAGCAACCGGTGCGGAGGAAACCATTCAAGGATACCGCAACTGCGTCTCCCAGCTGGGGGGGCTCATTCAAGAATACCCAGAGTACGCGAGTGCCCGCAACAACAGGGCGCAAGCGATTAGGCGGCTAGTGGGTGATTCGATGTTGATCTCGGGCTCCCAGCAGCTTCCACAAGCACTAATTCGGGATATCGACGACGCAGGGCGACTGCAGATGGCCGAGACTGCTCTATCAGACCTTGATCGCGCCATCTCGCTCCTTACCCCAACCACGCCCCAGACCAAAGTGTCCCAGAATGTGGCTAGGACGCTTTCCAATGCACACACCCAGAGAGCCGCCATCTACCACATGACGTCCAAGTTGATGGAGTCCAACACCCTTGCTGTACCGCAGGGTCGCCGGGAAGGAAGTTGGAGCAAGTTGGATTTCGAGGAGAACGCATCGAGGGACTTTGCCATGGGCGGTAGATATGGCAACGAGATTGCGAAAGCACTCGCTGTGAGCACCAACCCAACAGCCAAGCTGTGTGGACAGATGGTTCGGGAGGCGTTGAAGAAGGAGTACGGGCCGGCCTATTCGGCATGAGGGTCAAGGGACTAGCGATGCTGTGCAAGTAGAGTTGCTTCTGTATGATAATTGTAATGATGAATGTTACAGAAACGAAGCTTCGACCATGGTTGTCACCGTCTGTCTGTCCGTTGCAAGTGATTGCGTCATGTTGACTTGATCATGAAAGCTCACGAGCTCTTGGCAGTAGAGGTAAGACCAAGGCGCCTATGAATGGTTTAGCACGGGTCTCGAGGTCCCTTGGCAAAGAGTGAAGCATACCGGCGAGCAATCTGGAAGATCTCCTGGGTGGTGCGGCCCTTCTCCTTCTCTTCACGGTTGATTCTCAGAGCCGCAGCGGAAACGCCGATGAAGACGGCAAAGATGGGGTCCGCAACCCGGGAGATAATGTAAACAGGGGCAGCCATTGTGTGTCGAGTGCAGGAAATGTCTGGTTATGTTTGAGTGGTTGTAGTAGACGGAGGGTAGCGGGCTGGTGCTGTTCAATGAATGGAGTTGTCGTGAACTTGGATGGTGAAAGGACCCAGCAATCACATTGACTTTGGGCATTGGACATGCCCCGCAGTTCACACTTGCAAGTCTTGGCAAGGACAGTTCCAAAGTCTCAGGTTCTATGGACGGCGCACAGGCCAGGGCTTAGTCATCAAAGTGCGCTGCTGTGCCCGCTCGAATTTTGAAAGCCCACAAACTGGAAATTATTTCGGGAAAGACTTCAACACGGTCGTCCGCTACTTGTCTCTGAGCCTTACAACCGGACTTCAGGCAAGGCCCGCTGGATCACTGAGTACGTCCATACCTGTCCCTCTGAGTTTTTTTCGACGCGACCGCGAATTTCCCTCGTTCACCCCGTCTAACATCAATCCACCACAGAATCAGTCAAGATGAAGTTCTTGAAGACGTCGCGAGTCTGCCTCGTTACCCGGGGTCGTTATGCCGGCAAGAAGGTATGCTGCCACACCTGCCACACCTCTGCTTTGCCCGTCCGACCAAAAATCCTCGTTGTCTTGCCCCGCGTCGCTCGAATACCGGTATCATTTCGAAATTTCGCCAAATCGATCGGAGGAGAAACGAATTGCTGCAAATTTGCACCGGACCGATTGCGTTTGGGAAGAGGAGGGACAAGCGACCGACGACCGATTCCGACTGCTACGCAACCACGACGCGATGGGGGAAAAGACAAGTCGAGGATTGATGGAATTGGGGACTGTTTCGCAACGAAACAAACGCGAAAAGCCGGAAACAACAAGATCGCTGACTGACTGTCCTTGGTTCAGGTCGTCATCATCCAGCCCGTTGACAACGGCTCCAAGACCCACCCCTACGGCCACGCCATTGTTGCCGGTATCGAGAGATACCCCAGCAAGATCACTCGCCGTATGAGCAAGACCCGCCAGGAGAAGCGCTCCAAGGTCAAGCCCTTCATCAAGGTCATCAACTACAACCACTTGATGCCCACCCGCTACACCCTCGAGCTTGAGGGTCTCAAGGGCTCCGTCTCCGCCGAGACCTTCAAGGAGGTTTCCCAGCGCGAGGATGCCAAGAAGACCGTCAAGAAGGTTCTCGAGGAGCGTTACACCTCCGGCAAGAACAGGTGGTTCTTCACCCCTCTCCGTACGTTTTCCCCCCTTCCCCCAATCTTCCCCCCTCTTGTCTCGCGACCACCAGGGACAGGGACGCGCAATACTGACACGACATCTATAGGTTTCTAAATTAGTCTTCCACTCTCGGTCTGGGCAGGGCGCATGGTTTTAGGGGGCTGTGTACAGCATTCATCCAGGGAATAAAACTCGAGGCTTCCTGACTAGTCTGAAATTAACGGCAAATTGAAACAAGAGAGATGACGACCATATCAACCATCCCAATTTCAATCCATCCACGTGCGGGCAGTCTTCAAGTTTCAGGCATCTCGTCGAGAGACAGGAGTCTGCGGATTCCTACTTTTTGATAAGGAGAAGGGAGGATTGCACCTCGCGGAGAGCACTTCGAAAACAGAACAGCGATCGATACCCCATAGACCGGCGACGGACAGCGTTCCTGGTCGCGAGCCCTATGAAAGGGACTAGATACATCAACTTGATGAGTCTTTGAAACAAGCCAACAAGCGGGATCTGGGACAACAATGGCCAATGACTGGTGCCAGTGCATGACCGTGATGTGACATGAGAGCGTCACATGAAAACTATAAACATGTTAAACTTTGGACTACTTGCTCTTGCTGAAACTGCCCCCTTTAGGCAACTGGCAGTTCGTACTTTTGGACACTGCTTGAATGTTGAAGCAAGCGGCAATGGAAACCCCTATACATTATACGTAGCCATGAGGACGGCTTTTCTCAACGTCCAGTGAGGTGAGGCTCGAAGCTTCATTATCTCTTTGCAGCCTAATAATCGCATCTAGATTCTAGACTCGGGCACAAGTGGAACACCCTAGCCATCGCCAAGCCAATCTTCCTGCTCTCCACGTCGCTCTCGCCCAAGGAGATCAATCGTGGCTAGGTACGCCTATCAAAATACTGAAGAACAAACTGAAGAACAAATTGGACACGTCCTTGTAAGCCCGATGATATCACCGCCTCATTCAAACCCCCAACCTTATGCGATGTACCTTAGTTACCAAAGGAAAGGTGATCATTAGGTATGTTCAGTTCGAAGGGCAGATTTCCCGCCCAGAGGAACGCAGCATGCTCGCACGACGAAAAGCTAGAGAGGTAGAGAAGTAAGCGATTCACCTTCCGGACAGTCTTGCAATTGAGAAGAGGCTGTTTACTAGCTCCATATACGTCTCAGCTGAGCAGTTGTAATGTAGTGTACATGCCAGGTATCTCGTGTGTTTTGCAGATGGTTTGGAGATACTGTCGGGTAGGTATGAGAAGCCGAGGTACCTGCAAGAAGGGACATTGCCATACCCAAGGACCAAAATTGATGACATCGCCACACATACTTGTCCAAATCTTGGTCCCTTTCAAGAGTTATAAGCGGGCACACACACACACACACAATCACTTTCACACACTTCACACCCATAAGTATTGTTTCGAGTTCGTTAACCATCTATTCCTGCCAGCCATTTCTATCTTGTCCCATCATATCAACCATATGCCCGTTTGCAACTTCCGGTATATCTGCAACCGATCGCCATTTCCCTTTTTTTGTCTCTCTCCGACCTTACTCCCATTGTATCCCCTTCCACTCTCCCGAAGGATGGTATAAAAACATAGTTATAGGAAAATAATAGGCCAAGTAACCAACTCTCTGTGATGTACCTGGCTGAAGAAAAGGAGGCACAACCTAACTCGACATAATCGATGAAGAGAGGGGGTGCAGAAACTCAACTTGGGAAGAGAATTTGTACATGTGAGATCCAAAGGTAAATATTTTCCCTTGCTCTCTTGCGGACTCCGTGTAACGACGGTCTCGGCATTCAAAAGTCTTCTTCTTTCATGCTTCCCGACAGCCGAAGCAGCGAGAAAGCCGCGAATTTGCTCTGGGTGTGTGTTGTACTGAATCCTTGGGTGTTGGGAACTTGTTGAAGAGGATTACAAAGTCGGTATGTGGTTATGGCGATAGTAAAGAGACACAAACGACAACAACCCTTGTGTGCAGAATTCGGCTCTCGCGGCCACCTCGTGCGCCGGTTCCACACATTAATTCCTTGCTCAGAGCTTAGGCGGACATCCCAATTTTAGATTTGGCCTCGTTGAGGTACTCTTTGGGGTCAATCCCAGCAGCATAGTCGGGAGCGAAACCGCCGAGCAGAGCAAAGATGACGAAGACGGAGAGGAGGATGACCGAGATGCGACGGAGAATGGGACGGCGGTTGCCAAAGTCGGCCCACTGGCGGCCAGCCTCGCCGGCGTAGCTCTTGATGGTCTCAGCGCCAAGCTTGTAGTAAACCATGCCGCCGAGAGCAATGCTGTAGCCGAAGAATTGGGTGAGGGTAACTTGACTGCCGTAGATGACCATGGAAGCAACGACGAGCAAGACGTCCTTGAGGACACCGCAGAGGGTGAGTACGAGCGACGAAGTCTTGCCAATCTGCACAGATATGTTAGTAAGCTGTCTTGAACAGAACACGCGAGATATCCATTATCCAACTCACCAAGAACACAACGGAGACGTTGAGGCCGAAAGCGCAGAGGCCGTTCAAGAAGAAGTAGAAGAGGCCAACACGGTCGACATCAGCCATGGTAAGTCTGGGCACTTCCCAGAAAAGAGCAACAAGACCGTTCATGAGGGCGCAGATGGGAGCGAAGTAGTAGAGCGAAACCAAAGGGTCCATCTTGAACTCGGCGGAGCTCAGGAGACGCTGGACCATGGTAAGACGAAGAGCCTCGAAGGCGACACCAGCGATCTGGAGGATAACGCCCAACCAGACGAACTCGAGCTCGCCGTACGAAGCGATAATGACACCGACAACGATGACGGAGACGTTGAGGAAGACCCTCATGTTGATCTGCGACACACCAAGGGCCCAGCCGGAGAGGAGAACAGCGACAGGAGTGGTGGCCTGAATTGAAGAGGTCAATCGTCAGCTCCTATTCATTCGATCGGAAAAGCGCATCTTTAGTACTAACCTTGAGCATCTGGATGAAGGAAACACTGAGATAGAGGTAGGTGAGGTTGCCGCAGATCAAGCTCAAGCTGAAGAAGAAGCCGATCGGGACAATGGCGCGCAGATAGACCTTGCCAGTCATCTTAACCGTCTTCCTGCCATCAAGCAATGTGGTGTAGCGAGCAAGGATCTGGGTCATGATAGTAGAGAAGACCAAATGGTAAGTGGTCAAAACAACCGGGAAGTCTGCATCGTCGTCTTAGCATCTGTTGTTCCATCCACAGACCCTTTCCGGCCATGTATAGCGGGTTATCCTTACCGAATCCTTTGGCGGACAGAATCCATTTGTTGAACAGAATAACGGACGAGCTCATGGCGATCCAGATGCTGCAATCCTCACGTCAGTCAACCGAACACACGGAAACTTGTTGCGCCTTCCCGCCCATGGACGGAAGAGTGTCGTAGCTCACCTCACATAGAAAGCAGGGTGGATGGCGCTCTTGGGAGGCTGGGCCTTCTCGACCTCGGGATTAACAGTAGGAAGGACGGCATCTCTGGGGGAGTCGCCCGACGCCCGGCTCTTCTCTTCGACGCCCATGTTGTCGCGAGTTGTATGTGTGACCGGAGTCAAAAGGGGTATCGAGGCGGTTGAATGTATTGCGAATCCGGATTCACGTATCGGACTCGGGGATTAAAACGGGGTATTGCGAATGACGTCGCGAAAGTCTAAAGGCTGAATCAAGTCGAACAAACGAGCGGATGGTCAAGCTGGAACAAAAGCCGGGACCAAAAGATGGTGGAGGAAGAGCTGCAACGGCCGGCAGTTCAGGTCATGCAATCTCGCCAAGTGGAAGTGGAAATGTGCAAAGATGCTGCAGAAGGAAAGATACCAAGAGCCCCGCGTTTTGCAGTCCTGGGGAAGAATCCGCTCTCAAATCGGGGGGTTCGGTTTGCGGTCGACTTTGTTATTTCGAGGAGTCGGGGGCGCAAGCTTCGAGCTCTGGGGAGGCGAGATGATAACAGACAAAAGGCAGTGTCCGTGACGGTGGTGGTAAGGGGATGGAAACAAGAAAGAATAGAAGAAATGGGGACCGCCTCGCAGGCGTGCCAAGGGGCGCCAAGGGGGTGCCAAGGGGTGTCAAAGATCCCTTGAAAGCAATTGAAAGCGTGCGGGTGCTGGGCAGAATGGGGGAGCAAAAGGTCCAGACTGGGGAGAAATGCTACCCTTTCAGGTTTGGTGTCGACGGCTTGGTATGTGGGTAACTTTAATTTAGTGCTGACGCAGCCTTGGAAGGAACACTGCAGGGAGCAAACCACAAATTGGAGCGGAAATTGGGACGCAACCACAGAATGGATTGGATGTGCAAAAGACAGCCAGTCAGTCCAGGGCAAATCGGTCCACGAGCGGGTATAAAATACACGGCCACGCTTGCATGCCCTTTGGCTTCGTATCATCACAGGCATCACCACCCTCAGTCGAGCAATTGATGTCCACCATCTGCATTGTTTTGGTTTCGCGAAGCTCCACACTATCTGGAATTGCCTTGGAAACAACGGTGAAGCTCCACACTATCTGGAATTGTCCTTGGAAAACGTAACGGTTGACTTTTTTTTTTTTTTTTTTTTTTTTTCAGATGGCCACTGCACTCGCGTTTGGATGCGCTCCTTAGGACCGAGCTCAATAGCCGTGCAGACTGCAGAGCTGTACCTAAACTGCAAAGTGAAAGCAGAGGTTAGGTACTGGATGCTTCCAGGGATATCATTGGTCAGGAATGCCATCGTCAGTAGCAGCGACAAATAGGGGCAAGATAAGGGGTAACGTGCCTGGCGACGGCAGTGGTTCTGTGCTTCTACAAATTGGCAGAGTAAAACCACGGACATGTTGCCTTTGTGTCCAAAGAAACGCGGAAAATAGCACGAACAAAACGAAAGGGTATGGACCACGGCGGGAAGCTCTCTGTCTACTGCCACCTTCAATCATCACGTCCAGACCACAGCTCATGGATTGTCTTGCTCCTAACAAGAAAAAAGACTCTGGAACATTAAGACCTAGGGATCATGGAACAGGGGTCAACATAGACGGTAGACTAAGATATGTACCTAGAAGACATGTTGGTTACAACTGTCAAAAAGTCCCAGCGTTTTGACATGATAAGCA